AAAAAAAAAAAAAAAAAAATTATTTTTTTTTTTGTTTGTTTTTTGAGACAGGTCTCACTATGTAGTTGAGACTGACCTAGAACTCACTATGCAGCCCAGGCTGGTCTTGAACTCAGTGATCCTCCTGCCTCAGCCTCCCGAGTACTGGGATTACAGGCATGCGCTACCACGGTCGGCTTAATTAATCTTAACAGTATATTACACTTATTTTAGCAAAAAGGCTAAACAATTAACAATACATTTAACTACAAGTCAATATTATAATTTCAATATGCTACCTACAGAAATACAAGTTATCAACAAGAATTTGTTTTTTCTGGTTAACAGTCTTGCCTTTAAACTTGAGCTCCTTCTGCCTCAGCCTCCTAAGTGCTGAAATTATCGGCATGTGCCACCATACCTGGCTCCCCATTAAGATCCAGATTCCAAATGATATTTTATATCCTTTTGCATTAAGTGTTCAAAGCCCAAAGTCCATAATAAAAAATGCCCCCCCAAAACCCCTGAACCAGTGTATATCTTACAATTAAAACATGTTAGGGGCCGGGGACTTAGCTCAGTGGTTCAGTGGCCTGCCTTGCAAGCGCAAGGACCTGAGTTCAATCCCAGGTACCAAAAAAAAAAAAAAAAAAAAACCAAAAATCATGTCAATTCAACTACCCACATTTCCAGGGCTCAACAATTACACATGGCAAGTGGTTACCATACTGGATAGCACAAGTCTATAGGCTCATGGGGTACTGTCCATATCACATACTTATGGGATTCTTTTCAGAGTTGGCGAAGGGTAGGGATACAGCTCAGCGGTACAGTGCTTATCTAGCATGACTGAGGCACTGCGTTTAATTTTTTTAAAAATATGAATTCATATTGTCATAGGGGACGTGAAGGATAGCTAGACAGCAGAAATGTAGTTTTGTTGAGGAGTAGGGCTGAAGTTCTTATAGGCAAATAGCAGCTAACTCTTATTAACCTCAGCTTTTATTAATATATGTACAATATTTTTATGGAAATAAACAGTTTTTTATAGATTATTTGAGACTGTAGCCTTGAACTTTTGAGTTGTGGTTCCATGTACGAAACCACAACTGCAGTTTTTTAAATCTGTGTTCCAATGTAAATTCTCTTCAAATTCATAGTTATATATATTTTTCCAACACTGTAAGCAACTTGGAGAGGGGAACAGTATTCAATATAATACTGGGGCTGGGGATTTAGCTCAGTGGTGCTAGTGCCTGCCTCGCAAATGCAAGTGCAAGGCCCAGCATTCGATCCCCAGTAATAAAAAAATAAAAACAAAACAGATTTAGTGTTTCTGTTAGGGCCCAGGATTTAGCTCAGTGGTGTCCCTGCATGCCTTGCAAGTGCAAGATCTGGAGTTCAATCCCTAGTACCAAAAAAAAAAAAAAAAAAAAAAAAAAAAAAAGAATCTCCCAACCCTTTTGTAAATACTTTAAAAATTGAGACAAGTTGCCCAAACTGGCCACGGATTTTCAATCCTCTTGCCCCAGCCTCCTGAATATCTGGGATTACAGCCATGTGTTACCTATACCCAGCCTGAAAGCAAACTTTTATCATGAGGAATTTGCCAATTTGGAGGGAGTTATGAAATATTCACACTGGTATTGTTGGGAACAGTCATTTAGACTAACTTTTATTCATATAAGCACCATCTATTTCACATAATCTGCTTCAGATTTCTCCCCCAAAAGGTCCCATAATCCACAAAGCTCAGCAACTAGAACCTCAGAGGTTGTTGGGTCCAGGACTTTTCTTTCTTCTATCTCAAAAAGGGACAATCTCCATGAAGCGTTCCAGGACTCCCCCTGAACTGGAAGTCATTTTTCTAGTTCCTGGACAGTTAGCTGTCAGTTACATGCTAGCGCTCAAGATACTGCTAATACTAACCACATGTAAATAAGCACAACGGCTTTGCTTTAATACCCATAACGAATAAAATCAAATCTAGGTGTGAAATACGTACCTTTGGTGGACAGCTTTGTACAACCAAATCAACCTCAGGGATATCTAATCCACGTGCAGCAACGTTGGTAGCCACCATAACTCCAAAATCACCATTTCTAAAACCTTTCAGGGTGATTTCCCTTTGCTTCTGTGGAATGTCTCCATGTAATGACTGAGCATCCTGCCAAAGAAATAAACTGGCCTAAGAATACCAGATCCAAAAATACATGCTCAATTAGTCCTATAAAAGAGATATTTTGGTGACATTCCTGCCATGAATATTACAAGAATAAATAAAACATGTGCTTTCATACATGGACAGACATACAAATTATGTCCAAATCCTCAGCCATTAAATCTAAAGATACCAAGGTTGAAAATACATGAGAGTGACTAAACCTAAATTGTCAGTGGAGCTTCCGGTGTGCCCCACCCTCTCCTCATCTGTATTATAAGGCTCATCTGGAATAGGTAAGCTCTAACATGCATACTTTCACAAGATTCCTTTCACTTCTAACCTAAAATAAACTGAAAGTTACAGAATGAATGAAACAGACTAAGCAGACATGCTGAAGTTGACATCGGTCTGTCGATACCCCAGCTTCTCAGGAACGAGAAGGACCAACCTGCTTTATTGAGGCATTCTGTGACAGCTCCTGGGCTTCTTTCTTAGTTTCACAGAAGACAATAGTGCGCCCTTGATGGCCACTGTACACTCGAATCACATCCCCAATAACCGCTGCCCGCTGAGTCCAGTGGCACTTAATAGCCAGATGCTTTGAGAAGAAACAACATCTGTTTAGTAAAGCCTTGCAGGAACCTAAAATTACCTGCTCAATTCTAACAGTCTAGTTAATATCTTGGCATAGGAAAACCGCCCAGCCTGAGAGAGCAGCTGCTACCACCTTTACAGAAAACAATACAACTATGATATCCCAGTTGCAAATTGGTGCCAAGCTCAATTTCCCAGCGCTTGAACAGCAAAGTTGGAAAAAAATATGCTCAGTGTTTGTAACTTTGCTCAGTAGTTGAACTGAAGATCTGACTTAAAAAACATGTATAGGCCATGTTTCACTGCAGACATAAAAAGGTGATGTATCAGTCTGAGCACCACTCTCAGACAACATACAGTTTGTGTTAGTGTGCTAAATATTCATCACTGGTTTTTTTTCTTTGTACTTTATTTGTATAAAATATCATAACCATGGCTCCAAAAAAAGTTTAAGTGATATTGAGAGTAAAGCTAAGAGGAAAACTGAGAACCATGGTAAGAATTAAAGAAAGAAAACAGCAAAATTAACGTTAAAGTCCTCAAAAAATAAATTTATAATTTTTGCGTCTCAGAACCAATTAACTGGTCTTCCAATATTCCTTATGGGAAAAATATGTTCAGTTCTTGAACTTTTCAGTGTTCAAACACAAATTTGGAACAAAGTGAATTCAACAACCAAGGTATCACTCATTATGAATACACCACTAAAAAAAAAAAAAAAATCATCTGCCCCTGCATTTCTCCTCTGTATCCAAAGAGCTTAATATTCTGACATAACCAGAAAACAGGAAAAGAAATGCCATTTCTCAGATTCCTACATATAACATGAAAAACTTCGGTATGTTCTGTCCCTTCATCCACATAAAGTATAATCTGTAGTCAGTTACTATAAAGGTCTGGTCCTTGGATGAAATAAATTCATCTAGGTACCAGACCCTAAGATGAAAACAGCCATGAGAAAAGGCATTAAATTTTCCTGCTGCCCACTAGTGTTTCGATTCTAAGTGCAACATCTTTATTTATGTAATTCAGGCATATGATCCTAAAATTAGGCTATCAGATGATGAATTTTAGAAAACCTAGATAACATATGCAAATCAAACAAATATTATCTTTATTTGACTCTTCATATAAATTTAGTACCATACTTATCTGGAAAAAGAGCTTGGATATTCCAGCCTTTTTTTTTTTTTTTTTTTTTTTGGTTTTTTGAGACAGGGTCTCACTATGTAGTTGAGACTGACCTGGAACTCACTATGTAGCCCAGGCTGGTCTCAAACTCACAGCAATCCTCCTGCCTCAAGGCCTCCCGAGTGCTGGGATTACAGGCATGTGCCACCACGCCCGGCAGATATTTCAGTCTTAATACTTAGGAAACAAAATATTAACAAATTCTATATTAACTCTGGCAACTAAATGAATTATTTACCTCCACCGTTATTGCTGTTTTCTGAGTCTTTTTGCCAATCAGGTCCACCTGTTCATATGTAGATTTCATGTATTTCTTAGCAACATTAAATACCCAACTTGGGCAAGTTGCAGAAAAAAGCAGTGTTTGAGGATTGTCTTCAGAATCTTTTGGGGGGGAAAAGTCAGCATGAATAATTCAAATAAGCCTACAGAGTATTACCTTACCTAGTACTTCCAGGGTTGACCAACATTCACTAGCAACCATAGGAGGCCAAGCCACGCATTGAAGACACAAGATAAAACAACTCACAGAAGATTCTTAATGGGCACAGAAATACTGAAATAATTATGTAAAGGGCCCTTGAAAGCAAGGTGCAGTAGCACACAACTGTAACCCTCACTACTCAGAAGACTGAAGCAGAATTACAAATTTAAGCCTCGACTAGCTAATTTACCAAAATTAAAAATGGCTAGATATAGCCCAATGTGAAAACATGGGTTAAATCCCTGGGACCACACACTAAAAAGAATCCTGTCCTTAAACTTAAGTCCAGTAACCAACCAGGAAAGCTAAGAAAAAAACCTGTAAGAAAACTCACAAAGATTCTATAACTACTTTATACCTAGTATTTAATCTTTTATGAATTCAGAATCCCATTTTATTTGTTGAGGTCAGTTACTATTTTTGTTTGCCTGCACCTAAGAGTATCATTGCAGTCTCACTCATTTTAAATGGCAGTGTGCGCAATTTGGTAACAAAAAGCACAAACCATTACAACTTTTTCTTCGGAGGCAGTGGGGTCATCTGGGGATTGAATACAAGCCCTTATGCAAGCTAAACAAATGCTCTACCACTAAGCCATATCTCTAGCAGCGATTTAAAACTTTTTTTGGGGGGGTACCGGGGATTGAACTTGGGCCCTTGTGCTTGCGAAGCAGGCGGTGGAACCACTGAGCCAAATCCCCGGCCCATATAACTTTTAACTGAGTAATTTCACTTCATCTAAAAAACTGATTTTACATATTGAGGTGTGAAGAAATCTACCTCCATAAGAGATTATAAACAGAATTATTATTATTATTTATTTTTTGGTACCAGGAATCAAACTCGGGACCTTGAACTTGTGAGGCAGGCAGTGGCTCATTTACTGAGCTAAATCCCCCACCCCAGAATTATTTATGTGGAATAAAAAACAAAACAAAACCAAAAACAGGCAATAGAATCATTGTCACCTTTCAGAATATTGCACAAAAAAATATTAGTAAGTACAGTTAAGATAATTAGCACATATACTTGAAATATTGCAAATACATGGGGCTGGGGATTTAGCAAAGCAAAGTAAACCAAACTGACAGGATATAGGGCTGGGGATATTTAGCTCAGTGGTTCCACTCCTTGCCTTGCAAATGCAAGTTTCACAGTTTGATCTCCGGTACCAACAAACAAACAAACTGATAGAATATATTAATTATTCTTTTACTTTCCCAGGTTTACCCCTTTGCAGTAGGTGATAAATCATGACTTTTAAAAAACTGCCAGGTTAGCCAGGCATGGTGGCGTATGCCTGTAATCCTAAAACTGGGGAAGCTGAGGCAGGAGGATCACTGTGAGTTTGAGACCAGCCTGAGCTACATAGTGAGTTCCAGGTCAGTCTCAACTACACAGTGAGACCCTGTCTCAACAAAACAAAACAAAAAACAAACAAAAAAACCCCTGCCATTTTCTGAATAAAATCAAGCCCCCTTCCAATTTCCTAAGGCTTCATTTATCTCCTAGAAGACTACTTCATCTCCACCTTCCCTTTGGTTCCTTCTATCAATTCCTTGATTTTGGGGTTTACCTTTCTTATATGCCACACATAAAATCTCTTCCACTTGATCAGCAAAACCCATATCCAACATCTGGTCAACTTCATCCAGGACAACATGCTTAAGTTTGGAGAGATCCAGCTTGCCATTCTGTAGGTGGTCTTTGATACGACCTGGAGTCCCAACTAGGATATCAATCCCATTTCGCATTCGTTCGACTGCAAAGAAAACCAATAAAAAAGATTTGCTGTTTTACAATAATTTCTTTTACCAGTCTAGGGTACCACTTGAATGTATTTTCATTTAAAATGCTTATTAGAGGGCCAGGAATTTGGCTCAGTGGTTCTGCCACCTGCCCTGCAAGCACAAGGCCAGGAGTTTGATCCCTGATGCGCACACACACACACACAAAAGTACTTATTAGACAGCTATAAAGCAATATCCTAAGTAATAAAGATACTAAAGGAGCTCCTAATCCAGTGTATCGACATAATAGGAAAATGCACCATCAGGGGATGGTAGCATCTGGAAAGACAAGACTACTTTGGCTGGCAGAAGGTACCCAAGTTTCAGAACAAAAATAAGAATCCTAAATAGGAACTTTCTGTAAGGTATAGGAAGGATCAGACAGACTAGAAAGACAAATATCTTAACAAGGCACAAAAATATTTGGGAAAATAGAGGCTTGTAATATAACTGAACAAGATGGTAATAATGTAAATTTTTTTTATTGAGGTGCTATTGTAGCCCAGGGATCATACTAGGCATTTTACATATATTATCTAATTCAATTCTCACAACATCCCTGCAGGGTATATTCAGTGGCTCTCTTATAGACAAGAAAACTAAAATACAAAATAGGCAACTTGAGCATAGTCACACAACTACTGTGAGTAGAGTCTACACTCAAACCCAGGCTTTCGAACAAAGACCTAGGTTCATTCCACCAAAGCTAGAAAGAAATAACCACAAGCTTTGCACCCCAATGCTGAGACATTTTTTTTTTTTTTGGTATCGGGGATCAAACCTGAACTTGCGAGGCAGGTGGACCATTGAGCTAAATCCCCGGCCCCTGCTGAGACTTTTTAATACCTTCGATCATTCCATAATCACTTTGCATAATAATAAAGCTGCAAGGTCCTGAATGGGAAGTAATAATAGGGTGAGGCCTACATTAGACTGTTGGCCCCTAGTTAACAGAAAGCTCCCCCTGCATCAAGAAGGAAGCATGCAAAATGTGTGTGTGTGTGTGTGTGTGTGTGTGTGTGTGTGTGTGTGAGAGAGAGAGAGAGAGAGAGAGAGAGAGAGAGAGATCTTGAATTCTGACTTTCTCATTCCCAGGACTCCACTAGACTGTCCTCTTGAGCTCAATAAGATATCTCTGAAATCTTTAGGTAAATACTGACAGGTAATGCCGAAGTCTAAGAATCATATACAGGATTTAGCCAGAATCACTCAGGACCATGCTCTTGACCATCTTCAAACAGTAATGGCAAAGAGAAACACCATAAGCTACCAGACCAGGTAAAGACAGATATCAAGGAATTCAATCACACCATCTAAAGCAACAGACACCATTTTCCTTCCTTCACTTTTGAATTTACTTACTTTGACCTCCATATGGAGTTCCACCATAAAAACAAGCCACTGCCAGCTTTTTTGTAATGTCACTGAAGTCTCTGCTTACTTGATTTGCCAACTCTCTTGTAGGAGCAAGAACAAGTACCTGAGAGAGAAAACTTCCTTGAATTCCAAGTTTTGTACAGTATTTGTTTCTTAATTACTTTGGAACTGACCTGAAAATTCAACTCATCCTATTTATTCTGAAATATATGTTACAGGCTTTACAATGTGTGTTCATAAGGATCATAAGTACAATACAGTTCCTGATAAATATACTTAGAAAAGCTGGTAATCATACTAATCAGAAGAGAAGCGCTCATGTGTGCTGTTCCAAGAAGGCTCCATGGAGCAGCTTGGAGGAACAATGTAAGGTTTCAAGGGGCAGCATTTCAGGAAAAGAAAAATCTGAGCAAGAAGCTACTGATGATGATAATAATATAACTAATATTTGGGCTTTACTGTGTCATGGACCATACTTTATAACTCTCACAGCAATCTTTTGAAGTAATTTTTTTTGCACATAAACATTATTTTATAATAAGCCAGAACATCAACCTTATCCCAACAATACAAAAAGAAAACAAATGCAAATTAGTATTAAGAGACTTCCTTACCTAAAATTATAAAACTAAGAGTATGTATAGATATTTAAGTCCTTTTATTTCCATTCTATCCTTTGACTGAATTTTATTAATATATGCCCTTCTTAATCCTCCACTTCTAAAAGGCATCACCACCCTGTCACTCAATCAGGATGCTCAGCTTTGATTTCATATTCCAGCCTGTACTGAATGTAATCCAGGTCAGAGTCAGCTTTCTGGAACATTAGTTCCAGGTTACCAGCCTCTGCTTCCATGTTGAATAGCTCTGAAGCAGATTATTTGAAAGCCAAAAGGCTACTTAGAGGTGGAGCCTGGATTTAAATTCAGGTAGCCAGGCTCCAAAACCTATAGTCAGAGAACTCCTCTACTTAAAATACTTCCTCCCTTAGGCAAAAGTTGCCAAAAATATTTAATCATACCTGGGAGCCCCAGGCACACCCAAAGGTTCAAAGATAATATGATGAGCATTAATAACACAGGTGGATCACAAACATGGGACCAACGGCAATACTTTGTAACTTCAGATAACGATTTACAGTAAACACAATGGGGACTTTAAAAAGGACCCAAATTAAATAGTAGGGCACATGCTCCAAGCCCCCAAGATGCTTTTTCTATACTGATTTGGAGCCTGACATCTGTATTTAAGATAGTTACCTGGGGGGCACGGCCTCGCTTCCTATCTTGCAGCTGCCCCAGAAGTTTCTCTATCAAAGGGATGGCAAAGGAGAACGTCTTCCCTGTGCCTGTCCGTGCCTGTGCAATTAAGTCTTTCCCACTATAGACGTGGTGAAAGGTCTTTGCTTGTATAGGAAACAGGAAAGTCACACCACGAGCTGTGAATAAATCAATCATGTTAGCCAACATTGCAATTCTCTTGGGGGGTGGCAGTGGTGCTGAGAATCAAACCCGGGGCCTTCTGCACACAAAGCATACAACCTACCACTAAGCTATATCCCCAAACCTGACAAGTGCAATTCCTTAAATACCAGCACTTCCAAGGACTGAAGCACAATCATACTTGTAGTTTAGCAGAATATAGGAATTCTACCATTTGGTTGACACCTACAAAGTCAGGTTCAAATACATTCTGGTTGAATCTGGCTAAAAAATATGTAAATTTAAAGTGTTAAATTACAGTAAATATTTATTATCTTAAGAGATTAAATCACTTATCCTAAAATCTCAGGACAGTATGAACCTAAAAAACCCTGCTGCTTTGTAGACTGTTCTGCACTTGATTAAATACCTAGTGGAGCATCTTGGACTACATACCTGATTCATATGCAGGCTGCTGAGTTCTGAGCCAGCCTGGTATCACTGACCCAGTGGTGACTCATGTATAAGAAAGCATTAACATGACATTAACTAACTGGTTAATGTCACCAGAATTATCAGTCATCACACTTTGAAATGTAGAATAAATTTTAATCTTCAGGCAGCTAAAGCTATCACTATCACAATCCTATTCTGAATGTACTGGATAATTCATTACATAGTTGCATATATTGTTCTACCATAATAATGTGCCCTGGTTCATCTAAACAAAAATGCTAAAATGCTTCCAAATAACATGTCCTCTAACATTACATAATATATCCAAGAATATTACCTCTGAGAAGTTTAATAGTCTCTTCAGATATGGGGAAATTAGAGAAAGCACCTTCTTTTTGTTCCACAGGTATTTCCTGTACGTAAAAGACCATAGCAGGAAATCAATTAACACAGATTAATAAAGAAAGGGCTAGACCCAGGGATTTAGTTCAGCGGCACAGTGCCTGCCTGCCAAGCAACGAGGTCCTGAGTTTGATCCCCAGTACAAAGAAAACATATATATATCTCGCCCCTTTCTGTACACACACACACACACACACACACACACACACACACACACACAATGGAAGGCCTTGTGAGAAACAGCCTATTCTAAAACCACTCTTCTAAACATATCAGTTTAAAATTAACCAAAAAGACATAAAACTTTAGTACAGGTCAAGATGTAAAAAAGGAAAATATATCATAGTAATTTATAAAACCCTACCAAAGGAAAATTTTAGCATATACTGCACATAAACTACGTGTGACTAGTAAAGGCAGATTTCAGTTTCAATTAAGAACTACTGAGCCAGGGATTTAGATCAGTGGTTCTGGCGCCTGCCTCACAAGCACAGGGCCTGAGTTCAATCCCTGATTAAAAAAAAAATAATAATAATAGAAGAAATTAATGACAGCCTGTTGAAAAAAAAAAGAACTACCTGGACCAGGGGTTTAGCTCAGTGGTTCTGCTGCCTGTCTCAATTAAGAACTACCCTATAATCATTACAAACCAAAAGTACTACTGAACAGGTCATTAGCCCTTTTCCACAGCAATATCCCGCATACAGATCAACAGAAAACAAGGAACAACTGTTTATAAAATAGTGGTCACTATGGCATTATTTAACAATTAAAAAACCTAAATGATCAATAACAGTAACAACTAAATGAATCTCTAATGATTTATGTGGTGCATAATGTAACCATTAAAATTTTAATATTTAAAAATGTGAAAAATCCTTATATAAAAATATGAAGGCAGGATATAATATATATGGTATAACCCTAATATGATTCAAAACTAACATTATACTATAAAGCAACATAATTTAACTACAGACTACCTCTACACCTGAAAAGTGCTTAGTATTTACTGAAAAAATTCCAAGGAGTGTTTTTCTTTTTGGTAAATTTATAACTTTTCTATTTCTCATAGTTCACACCTTTTTTTTTTGTTTTGGTACCAGGGATCGAACTTAGGACCTTATGCTTGTGAGGAAGGTGGTGTACATTTTGTTTAATAATCAGGGGGAAATGTAAATGCTAATCATGACCAGGCAAATAGAAAATGTACAGAACTAAGATCTTTCTTTTTTGGCAGCACTAGCTTGAATTCATGGTCTCATGCATGCTGGGCAAATGCTCTACCACTGACCAAAGTACAGCCCAGGATTTTCCTTTCCTGAGTTTCTGAATGGTAACAAAATTAGCTTCTGAGTAGACATTTAATCCTGTCCAACTCAAATTACTTACTGGTTTAAAGATTTATGCAATCAAGCAAATCCCTTTCAATGCTTCCACTGAATCAAAATTTGAGGGTCAGGGATTTAGTTCAGTGGTTCCACCATCTGCCTCACAAGCATAAGGTCCCACGTTCAATCTCCGGTACCAAAAAAAAAAAAAACAAACCAAACTGTGACGAGACTTCTGAGGGAAAATATGGCCCAATTACACAACTGTATCTCTCCTGTTGATTTCTAACTTGAAAATAAGCAGACCTTAGGCCAGGGGTTTAGCTCAGTGGTGCCGTCACCTGTCTTGCAAGCACAAGGACCCAGGCTCCATCCCCGGTACCAAAAAAAAAGAAATTAAGCAGACCAAGACTTTTCCTAAACTGAAAAGACCTGCTTCTTTGAAAGTGAAACATTAACACTGTGCCAAAAAATTTTTTTTGGTACTGGGAATTGTAACCAGGGCCTCTGCATTGGTCTACATCCCTATTCTGTTTTTAGTATTATTATTATTATTATTATTTTTAAAGACAGGCTGTGCTCGAACTTGCAGTCTTCCTTTCCCCAAGTGCTGGGATTATAGGTGTGTACCACCATGCCTGGTTCAGCACTATGCTTTTTTTTTTTGGTACTAGGAATTGAACTTAGGGCCTTGTACTTGCCAAGCAGGCATTACGCCACTGAGCTACATTCCTAGTCCACTCTATACTATTTTTTAAATGAATTCTCACAGCTGGGAGTGGTGGTGTACACCTGTAATACCAGTACTCTCAAGGCTGAGGTATGAGGATTCCCAGAAGTGCATGGCAAGACTCTGTCTCAAAAGAAAACAAAACAAAATGAAAAAAACCCAAAACCTCCAAACAAGATTAATTTTCATCCTATAGCACCCATCCATGTGGTACTTACATCAAATTTCCTTCTATTAACAAGATAGTATGAATAGTAATTACCTACTTACTTTTCTGAAACAACCCCCATCACCACTACCGCTGGGGAGTAAACCCAGGACCTTGTGCTTGCCAGGCAGGCACAGCACCACTGAGCTAAATCCTGGGACCTCTGAAACAACTATTAAAGTCCAACTGTACCTGCTCTATCTCACTGTTGCTTTCTCCGCTGGCAGCATCATTGGAGTCAGCTTCAGGATGAGAGAATCCATTCTTCAGTTTGGGGCTTTTCTCGCCAATTTCTCCATTCACTTCCTTTTCTTTCTTCATCTTTTTGGGCTTAGGAGCACCTATGTCATCTTCAGAAGGCTCCTCACTTTTTACCACTCTTTTGGTTTTAGGAGAAGTAACTTTCTTTTCAAGGGGCTCCTTCTGCTTTTTTGTACTTTTGGTTTTAGGGGAAACAACTTCATCTTGAGATGTCTCCTCTTGCTTTTTGGTCTTTTTGGATTTAGGAGGATTCACATCAACTTCAGAAGGACCTGCTTTCTTTTTCACATTTTTAGCTTTGGAAGAAACAGTTTCTTCCTTTCCTTCTGCTGACTCTTCAGTCTTGTTAGATTTTGGCTTCTCTTTTCTACCTTTCTAAAAAATTCATAAAGAAAATACAAAAACTGAACAATGCATCGATATATTTGTATTATCCATCAACAATAAGTAACTTTATTATCTTTGAAAACCAAGAGTGCCCCTTAGTAACTACCCATTCAACTCATACTGGTCAAACTACTGCAAAACCAAATGTTCCTGAGATTTGAAGTGGCCAATGGGATACTCCAACAGGTGTTAAATACTATACAAAGTGCTATCCAAATTTACTTCTGATACAGAAAAAAAGCCACACATGTCCACATATACCTGATGTTAAACAGATTTTCTTCTTCCTTATAAAATTCTTTAACAGGTAAAACAGATTCATAATATCTGCACCTTCTTCATGTCACAAGAGCAAATCATCTCATCCCCCGGTGAAAAAAAGAAAAAGAAAAAGCCCATATATAAAAGTCAACAACCTCAAAATCAAACCAGACACAGATACATGATAATGGGCGTTACTTTAAATTTTTGATCCTCTCCTTTTCACATTACTGAAAATTTACAATAGACAGGTGTTTTAGTCCCTTAAAACCCTCTAGCAGAGCCACAGATCAATCCTAAAGACATGGAAACTGTACTGAACTAAAATCTGCTTCCCTGATTCAGGCCTTCTCTGCTACAAGACTTCAGTTCTTTAGACACCCCTCTTTCATCAGATAAGAGATTTCCTATTCTGGGAGGTCACGTTTTGGAATGGCAAGGAGTTTGGTCCCAACACCTTTGGACTTGAGCATCCCACAGCTGCACACTTATGAAGCTAGAATACCAACTACATTCCCACCCGTGGGTAACAAGCCTACCGTACTCCCTGAGCTTCCTACAATGCCAAATTATCGCTGTTTTGGGAGCTTCCAATCAAAAAAATCTAAAACAGCAAGGAAAAAAACATTCTAAGTCCTGCAAAACACGAGTTCAGGGACAGTCTTCATTTTCACAGACTTTATCTCTTAACAGACTTATAGTTAAATTGATATTTAAGGAAATAACAGTCAAGAATCAAACGACTATCGAGGTAATTTAAGACTACTGAACCTGCTAGCCTATATAATAAATACGGTGTTCTGGTAACACCCCAACGTGTCGTTGCACTTCCACGGGAGTTATGGCCAATAAGCACTAAGAGGAACTGAATTACCTCATCGTCTAAGGGCCGCTTATCAAAAACAGTGTACTTCCTTTATTACGCGGAAAAGTCACTGGAAATGCCGCCAAGTGAGCAGATGGGTTTAAGATCTCCTTAGTCTAAAGTTTCAGTCCTCACTTTGACTTAATTTATAATTCCCTCCGTGCACGCTCACGCGTGCAACAACGTGGGGCCTAACCGCGAGCGTCCAGTTTCGCACGCAGGATCTCCCGGGACTCGCGGGGGCGTGCGGGCTAAGGGGAGCTCCGCGCGACACAGCCAACGGGAGGGCAAGACGTCCTCTGGCCAGGGCCA